AGGGTGGCCCTCTGGGAAGGGGCGCACAGCGCTCGTCCTCAGCGCCTCCGTGCCCCTCCTGGGCGCCCCCCTCTGTCAGGACACAGGCCCTGCATTCCCTGCAGGGCTCCGCGGCCGGGCGCCGCTACTGGGTCACGGTAATTCTCCCAGAGCGGTGATTAAGGCTGGGTCGTCCCGGGCGACTGTGACTGCCGCGCAGAGCCTGCTCTCGCCCGGGTCTGAGGAGCAGCCGGGAAACCACAGCGTGGAGAGGTGACCCAGAAACTCCGCCGTGGAGGAGCCTAGCAGAGCCCCATTCCCTGGCCATTTGATCTCATTAATCAAACATTACCTAAGCCATTGCACTCATTGTAATCCTATTGGTTCCCCAGACGTTTGTCCCACCTCACACCCCCGCCCTGCACTCCCTATTGGATCAGTATTACCTAAGCGACTACACTCGTAATCTCATTGGTTCACCACAGTCCTGTCCACGTTGAACCCGCCTCATCTCCTGGCTTTACTCAATGAAACACCCTTGAGAAGTGAGGTTGGCAGGCCACCCACTTTCTGGGTCCCCTTCTGTCACTCTGCGAGCTATCGTTTCTCTCAATAAACTCTTCCCAGTCTTAACCTCCATTGTTCCTAGAATTCATTTCTTGATTTTAGAGAGCAAGAACTAGGTGTTTCAGGTATTTAGCAGGTTGGGAGATACAGTATTTCCCTTATATTATTTGGAGATCCATATGTCAGACGCTTTATTTCACAGGGACCCAACTTTATCATGGTATGTATTTTTTTAGACAGGTTCTCACTATATAACCAGGCTGGCTTTGAACTCATTGCAATCCTCCTGCCTCAGCCTCACAAGTGCAGGGATTATATCATGCCTGGTCAACATGCCTTTTTTTAAAATCAGTACTGGTGATTGACCCTAGGCGCATGCTGAGCTACAGCCCCGGCCCTTTTTTAATTTTTAATTTTGAGACGGGGTCTCCTATATTGCCCCAACTAGCTTCAAGCTTGAGATCCTCCTACCTCAGCTTCCCGAGGAGCTGGGATTACAGGTGTTTCCCACAAAGCCCAGCTTAACACTCATGTTTTAAATAGGCCACTGGAGCTGGGCATGGTGGTCCATGTCTGTAATACAAGCTACTCAGGAGGCTGAGTCAGGAGCCTCAGATCTGAGGACAGCCTGGGCAACTTAGTCAAAACCTGACTCAAAATAAAATTCAGCTGAGTGCACCTGTAATTCCAGCAGTTGGGAGACCGAGGCAGGAGGATTGATGTGAGCTTGAGGCCAGCTTGGGCTACACCGTGAGTTCCAGGCCACCCTGAACTACATAGTGTGGCCTCATCTCAAAGAAGTCAATAAGGTCAGAAATACAGCTCAGTGGCACAAGTGCCTGCCTGGCAAGGCAAGGTGTTGAGTTCAATTTTTGATACAAACAAAAAACTCAGTAAATAAAGTAGAAACAAAGGATTGGGATGCAGCAGAAGAGCCAGAGCGTGACACACACGAGGCCCTGGGTTCAGTTCCTGGTACTGGAAAAGAAACTGGTGGGAAATTGCAGAAAGCCCAGCAAAGGTTCTGTCGATGCACATGGTCCCACCCCCAGCCCCTCTGCGGTTCCCAGGCTGAGGCCCACTTGTGGGGCAGGTAGGGCGCCGGTGGAAAAGGACCTGCCTCATGGTCTGAGAGCAGGGATCTCTGGCTCACAGCCAGTCCTGCAGGCTGTCAGGGCTGCCTGCCACCCAAGAGAGGACTCGGGAGATGACACGTGTGACCCGAGGGCTGGCCGCACTGTAGGAACCAGTGCCCTGCCCGGGTGACCTGTGGGGGTCTGGGAGGGCCTCACTTACTAGGCCCAGGGTCCAGCTGTGCTCATCCTTGAAGCAGCAGGGAGCCCCTGAAACTGTAAGGGGAAACAAACTGCTCATGTCCCCAAGCTTCTGGTCGCCCCGGCCTCAGGCCAAGTTTGGAGTGTGCTGACCTGAGCTCTCTGTTGGTGCTTTGGGGACACAGGTGACTCCCAGAAAGAGTGTGGGACCTGAGAGGACTGTGGCACATGGCAGGGGAGGGGAAGTAGTGGGGAGAAGATGAGGCGAGGGGGACAGGACAGAAAGGAAGCTGTCACCTGTGGCTAGGCAACTGCATACAGTGGTGTGCAGAGGGGGTGGATCCTAGGTCTCACATCTGCAGCCCCAGGGAACAAGTTACTGTGGGTCTAAAGGTAGTGGCCAGACCCCCAAGGACAAACTTGAGTGCTGTCCCACAAGTGGGACTGCTCGGGCCCCTGTATGGGTCCCAGAGGGAGTAGGGTGAGGTTGGCAGGGGTGGGGTGTGTGTGTGACAGGCAGTGCATTGCACTATCTGTTGGCAGACAGCGCCACCTGGTGGACATAAGGTTCTCACACAGGCCCTGGTCCCGACTGCAGGCCTGAGGGCATCAGGCACCCTGGCTCCCTGGCCGACCCTACCTCCAGGATGGATGCACCTCACACTGACCCAGGGGCCGCATGTCTGATGGCAGGAGGCCCTGTGGCTCGGGCTGAGGCCAGCTCCTCCGGTGGAGGGCGTGGCAGGCAGCACTGCAGGCTCTTGGCCTTAAGACAGGTGAGCATTCAGGGCAGACCCGCCTGCAGTACTGTGGTTGTATCTGTGGCTTCTTCAGACACAGCAGTGGAAACCACTAGACCCGGCTGCCTGAGAGGCTGAGCAGGTGGGTCCCGTGAGACTAGCAGTTTGAGATCAGCCTGGGCAACATAGTGAGAAACCCTCTCAAAGTAAAATAAATTAAAAAATAAAGATAAAAGGGCTGAACATGCTGGTCCATCCCTGTAATCCCAGCACTCTGTGGTGCTGAGCAGGAGGATTACAAATTCAAGTCCAGCCCACGCAACTTAGGCCCAGCCTCAAAATATGAAAGTAAAATTAAAGAAAGGGCTGGGGATATCTAGCTCAATGACCCTGGTTCTACCCCTAGTACAACAAGGACAAAAGAAAAAGAAAAGAAGGAGGGAGGGAAAGGAAAGGAAAAGGGAGAAGAGAGCAGGGTATAATGGGGCATGCTTGTAATCCCAGTATTCAGGAGACCGAGGCAGGAAGATCCTGAATTTGAGGCCAGCCTGGGCTAGGTAGTAACCTTGTCTCAAAAACCAAAAGGAACAGAAGACCTGGGAAGCTCTTCCAAGCACAGTTGCTCTCTCCACCCCCAGACACAGAAATCCTACAGGTCTGCGCAGCAGCCTGGACAGAGGTGACTGTCTTCAGGTAGGGCGGGGTAAGGGAGCCCCAGCGCACCGTGGTGACTCAGCCCAGATGGAAACTCCTGAGCACCACACCCAGCCCGCGTTCCTGCTGGCTGCTCAGCAGTTTGGGGCCAGGTTCCCTGGGAGGCACAGCCGCTGTGTTCTTCCTGAAGCTGGCAGAGCTCCTCAGCATTCTCCATGTGGCCTCCGCTAAATGAGACCAACAGCTTCTCCCAATGCGGCAAGGGCCGGAGCATCTACTAGGCCCAGGCCTGGACTGGCACTTGTCTTTAGTACAGAACAAACTAAGGACAGTCTAGAGAAACTCCTTTTGAGAGCCAGCCATGGTGGTGAACCCTTGTAATCCCAGCACACAGGAGGCTGAGGCAGGAGGATGGCTGAGGGTTTGAAAGTGAACTCAAGGCCAGCCTAAACTGCATAGTGAGACCCTGTCTCAAAAAACCACAAAAAAAAGAAAGGAAGGAAGGAAGGAAGGAAGGAAGGAAGAAAGAAAGAACTCATTTTGCAGAACACCATGATTTGTAAAGCAGAGGCCCCCGACAGTCTGACCCCCTCAAAGGCATTAGTGGGGTGCAAGTGCCATCCCCAGTGTCTCTCACGCATGGTTTTCTTTTTATTAACAGCTGGGTTCACATTTCATTGGCCTTTCTTTTCTTTTTTGAGACTAGGTCTTGCTCTCTGCCCAGGCTGGCCTCAAACTTCTGGTGCTCCTCCTGCCTCCGCCTCTTGGGAGCTACGAGTCCAGGCGCACACCTCCGTGCCCGGCTATGGTCATTTTCCCTTCCATTTGCCAGAGAGTGTGAGTGGTGGGAGACACACTGCGGAAATGTGTGACTTACTTTTGTTCCCCCTGGGCCTGTCCACCACTGCGCAGCAACTCAGGCTGGCTTAGTGACCCAGACCAGGCAGGGAGGACACTGAGCCCAGGGTTTCAGGGACACCTGGCTCAGGAGGGGCCAAGCTCCACACTGCAGACCAGGCCCAGCCACCAAGGCAAGTGCTGCCTGGGAGCCATCTGGGCCATCGTGCCCTGGGAGGTTCCTGCTGAGTTAGGTGCTGGGGCCTGGGGACCAGCCCTCACGACAGGTCGAGCCAGAACACCAGGAAAACCAGGCCGGAATGGCACACGTCACCAGCGCACTGGGGCTCCCTGGAAGAGGCTCACATCCCAACACGCCACAGCCAGAATATTTCACGGCGGGTCATTCCAACAAGGTATGAAGACAGGAACAGCAAAGACACATGGAGAGTCCGGTGGAAGACCGGGCCGCAAAGCCCGTCACAGTGAGGCACGCTTGTGATCCCAGCACTCGGAAGGCTGAGGTACAAGGTCCGCCTGGGCTACAGAGCGAGACCCTGCCTCAAAAAAACAAAGAGGGAGCTAAGAACAGCGACCACTTGGGGGGTGCCTGCCGCAGTAAACACTTCCCTGTTGCCTGTGACCCTGAGGGCTGTTTGCAGTTACCCCAAAGACAGAACTGCCTCGGGCATATGGAGAGCCCCAGGGTTGGGGCGTCCCCGCTGCATGTTGCAGTGTGGTGCCCAGGCCAGCTCTGTCCCTGAGCCAGGTGCCAGGCAGACAGGGCTAGGCGAGGTGGAAGGAAGCTGTTACCAGCGCTGCCTTGGGCCTGGGGAGGGACCCTGCCGCGGGCCTCACTGGGTCCCGGGTCCCGGGTCCCCCCTGGGGGAGACTGTGTCTATCACCCTCCCCCTTGAGTGTCCTAGAGAAGCACATGGCTGTCGCTCACCCTGGTCGATGGCGTGCTGGGGCAGCTGGCTGAGCTGGCTGCTGACCACGCCGGCATAGGTGCGCAGGAACTCCTCCTCGCTGGCCGTCAGCTGCGGGAGAGCGTGCGTGAGGCTCACGGGGCCGGGGCCTCCTCTGTTCCTCTGCTCCTCAGCTCAGCCGGGAAGCCTGGCCCCGGAGGCCGTGGGCCTCGGCCTCGGACTGAACCTGAGAGACGTCGAGCCTGGCCCAGGGCCGGAGGGAAGACTCGGACCCTGCCTGAAGCCGAAGGCTAGGGCCAGTTCCAGACACTTCTGCCCTCCCTGGCACCCAACCTGCCCAGTTGCCCCTCCCAAAAAGAAGCCTCGCTCCTATCGGGGAGGAAGATCAGAGCCTCAGACCCTCAGGTTCGTGTCCACCCCCCAGAACCAGACCCGCCAGGCCCTGGGCATGGCCCTGAGCCGGCCGCAAAGCCCAAACGCAGGTCACGCGGTGCCCTCCCCGGCACTCACGTTGGAGCCCATCTTCCTCAGCATGAGTAGCACGCGGACCTTCTGCTGGATGTACACCTCGTCCGGACTCTTCCCGGACGCGCCCTCGCGGTTCATCCCCCTGGCCCGGCTCCGGGGACTCCTGCAGGGGATGGGGATTCGTGCTGCGGCTCGGGCACCTGCGTGTCCCTCGCCGCTCGAGTGGCCCCTTCCTGCTCGGGCCCACTGACCCCAGCCGAGAAGCTTGCTGTGCAGCAGGTGCTGTGGCGTCGTGCACAGCAGCGGGGTCAGTGTGAGGCTGTGCAGACCACAGGCCACTGTCCTGTGGCGATGCGTGCAGGGGACAGGTGCACGAGGCCCACAGGGTCCTCAGTCCAAGGCGAGTAGCCTGTGTAAGGAGCCAGTGACCCGATCAGAGGTGGCTGTCCCAGGCCTGGAGAAATTATGGACCTGCACCAGTCCCCAGCACAAGGTAGAAGCCTGCAGCAGCCTGGGTCGGGACCCAGGAGTCCCTGGACAAGAGAGGTGGCTCAGGACTGAGCCCCAGCAGCCCATGCACCCCCGCCTGTCAGAGGGCAGCAGCTGCCTCCAGGTGCCGAGGAGACCTGACCCCCAGGGCCCCCGGAGAGAGGCTCCGGGCCGGGAGGAGAGGAAGGGGGCGTGGAGGGGCTTGGGTTACACGATCACAACTCCTGGATGAGTCAGAAATAACGCGGCAGCTGCTGGGGTGGAGCCTTGCCAGCCCTGGTGCCAAGGAGCTGTGCTCAGGGAACCAGGGAACCAGGCCGGCACGCCAAGGACTCCTCAGGCTGTCCCCTGCCAGGACCAGCGGGCTCTCTCTGACAGGGTGTGGGTTCAGGAACCACAAGACCCAAGGCCTCTGTCCAGAGCCCGTGCACCAGGCTAACCTCCGCCAGCTGAGCGGCCCCCACAGGGACCCCAGATTTGGCAAAGGCTCCCCCAGACCTTCCCACCTCTGAGCCCAGCCCGTGGCCCCTTGCTCTGCTGCTGCTCCTGCCGGGCCCAGACAGGAGTGTGAGAGCCTGGGGACAGAGCTCCGATCTCTGCAGCTGGCAGGGAGGGCTCAGTCCTGGGCATCACTGTTCCTCCCTGCCTCCATTTGGTACTCAGTGACCTCAGGTGAGCCCTGCTCGGGCCTCCGGCCTGCACAGTCTGGCTCTGTCTCCCCATCGACGGCTGCTTCCATGTGGGGTGTCACGTGGCTATGGTGGCCTCAGGTCTGCCTTTCCCCCCATCTTTCCTCTGCGCCCGTCAGCCAGAGCAATCCTGGGAGGCCGGCCACTTCTCAAGCTCCTCCCCAGTGGTCCCCAGGGCCTCAGCACTGTCACCTCAGTTTCTCTACACCTTTCCAGGGGACACTGGATGGTGAAACAGAAGCTGACTCTGCACCCACACCCCGGCACCCCTATCTGAGAGGCAGGCACTGGGAAGTGCCTGCCTGGCTGGCTGAATGGGACACGGGGACAGCAGTGGTGACTCAGCTTCCCCTGCTACATCCTGCACAGCAGGTTAGGACCAAATGGCACTGCATGAAAAGACTCACGTACCCTGCCAGCTGTGGAAGTGAACGACTGTCATCTTAGCACTTGGGAGGCTGAGCCAGGAGGACCTCCACAGTCTGGGCTACACAGTGAATTCAAGGCCAGCTTGAATTACATAGCGAGACCCTGTTTCAAAAAAAACAACATACACACGCACACACACACACTGGGAGTCAGGGCTCCCAAGAGTAGGACACCAGTCCAGCCAGTGCTCTCCTGCAGAGACAGGACCGAATGCAGGGGCCCAGCCACTAGGTGTCAGCACACACAACAGCCCCAGAGCCTCAAGTGCGTAGGGGCTGTCACCTGCTTCGTGTCCCATGCACCCAGGTCTGTTCCTGGGTGACAAGCTTACTACCCTGCTGGGCTGCTACTTTTTATTTATTTATTTATTTATGGTCCTCGGTTCAATGAATTAAGCTACACCCCCAATCCCAATGTCCCCTGCAGCCCTGTATTTTGAGACAGGGTCTTAAGCTACTAACTTGCCTTAGGTGGGCTCAAACTTATGGGGTTTGGAGGCGTGCACCACCACAACTGGCTGTCTTGATTCCACTCTCACAAGCCACCCTCTGCCCCAGGCCCGGAAGATCTACCCCTTCATGCAGATGCTGGCCCTGCCCAGAAAGGGGAGTCCTGTGAGCTGCCAACTCCAACTCTGGAGTTCTGGTGTACACTTGGGGACTCATGCCGGGTGGCTGCACCATGGCACAGGATCAGGGTATGTGGAGCTGGGCTGCAGGATCTTGCTGCGTCCCACAATCCTCTCTTCCACCCCCTGGACACACAGGTGCCGTCTCATCATTTTAGCTGTGACTGACTCACTATTCCCTGGGACACTGGGCCTGGTGTCCCCAAGCCTGAATGGGTGTGTAGAGCTGGGCCGTTTCCTTCTACTCTCCTGACAGAGGCTGCTTCTCCAGCTGGCTCTTCTTGCCCAGGGAGACTCCTGAGCTGTCATTCCTAAAATTTCTGCTCATCTAGGATTTCTCAAGCTCCTGGCGGGAAGGGCTGCCCAGGGCTGGATCTGGGGTAGAAGCAGCCTGAAGTGCTGTCCCCACCCTGCACAAGGCAGCCGGAGCGCGGGGGACACGCCAGGCCTGGCTGACACTACTCCACCCCGATCTGCAGGTGGGGCGTCTCCGTGCGGAAACTAGTAACTGAACAGGATTCATCTTCACTGACCCAGCCACACAGGTGCTACGCTGCCAGAGTCTGGTGACCAGCGCATCGCAGGGTGTTTGGGCCTAGCAGAACGAATGTGACATTAGGTTCTCGTCACAATCCCAACTAGCAGCCAATTAATTAACTGCACTTCAAAATTCCTGCTTTACCCTGTAGGCATCAAGAACTGGTCTCCATCAAAATGTGCTTGGACTACGGAAACTCAGACTGCGGCTCATCATTATTCACCCGGTTCTCAGACCTAAGGACCAAGACTCAGAGTCTCAGTGACGGTCTCAGCTATGACCACAAACATCCTGTTGTTTGTTACAGGGTGGGGCTGCCCCTCACTCTTACTAGAATTTTCCACTGGAAGCCGTCTGCGTCAGAGATGAGAAAAAAGAGAAAGAAACACGAAGCCAGGTGCAGTGGTGCATCCATGGAACACCAGCACTCTGTTAGGCAGAGGCGGGAGGACTGCAGCTTTGAGCCCTGCCTGGACACCCTGGCGACTCCACTCAACTCCGAAATAAACAAACAAATACTCATATTGGCTGAGCATGGTGGTGCAGACCTGTAATGACAGGACTCGGGAGGCAAGAGGCAGGCGGATTGCTGCGAGTTCAACGCCAGCCTGCGCTATAAAGTAAGCTGAAGGCCAGCCTGAACTACACAGTGAGACCCTGTCTCAAAAAGACCAAAATAAATCAATAAAAGATTGAAAAGAGGCTGGGCATTTGTGTGCTCAGGGTGTGTTCCATCCCCAGAGCTGCAAAAAAGAAAAAAGAAAAAAACTAAAAATGGAGTAACTGGCAGATGGCAATTGTACAAACGAGCAGGAATGTGCGTGTGTGTCTGTACACATTATGGGGTAGGGAACCACAGCCGGGAGAAAAGTAGGTGCCATTCCAGGTAAGGAGACAGGTATGTGCACACAGGCACACACGCAGGCACACACATACACGCAGGCGCGCACACATACACGCATGCGCACATACAGGCATGCACGCACACACATATACACAGGCACATACATTCACGCATGCGCACACATACACGCAGGCGCACACATGCACACAGGCGTCCCTGGAGATGGGGGGAGGTTGCAGGAAATTTGCAGGGCCGAGGAGGAAGTGGCTCCTGCCCTTGAAGGATCCACGCACACACTGTTCAGTGGGGCTCACGGTCTGCGAGGCCATTCTGCACCCTCTGGGGACATCCAAGCCCCTGACGCCACTCTCCCGCCCACCTCGCCTGCACCTCTATCACCCACCTGCTCTTATGGCAAGAGCGAGGCCCAGGAGAGGCCCGGGATAGGGACAGCTGGGCTCGTGGTGACAGCACATAGGCCCCTAAACACCCACGTTTCCACGCCTGAGAGAACCTCTTACGCCCGGGGGTTTACGCTGCTTCGGAAACAGCGAGCCAGCTGGGGTGGGGGCGGAAATGGACAATGCGCAGGTCCTGGGAACAGGTGCCTCTTACCTCCGGCCCTGGACTTTGTGTTTTTTTTTTTTTAACTTAGAAACATATTGGGGTGACACACAACTAAAATCTCAGCACTCGGGAGACTGAGGCAAAGATTGCCAAAAGTTCGAGGTCACGGGCTGGGGGTTTAGCTCAGTGGTGTAAATGCCTGCTTGGCAAATGCAAAGTCGTGAATTCAAGCCCCAGCACAAAAAAAAAAAAAAAAAAAAGCTCAGCCCGGGCTACTTAGTGAGTTCAAGGTCAGGCCAACCTACACAAGTGAGACCCTGTCTCAAAATATATAAATAAAAAGTATCAGGGCTGGGCTTGGGAGTACACACCTGTAATCCTAGCATTTGGGAGCCCGAGGTAGGATGATTACAAATTCGCGGCCAGCCTGGGCTATATCGTGAGACCTTGTCTCAAAAAAAACTCAAAGTAAGTAAAAGCATTATCACATGATGGATTTTAAATTTTACATGTAAAAGTGAACATACATTTTTGCAAACTTTATATCATCTAAAAACTACACTGTCCTATAGCTGATTCAGAGTTTATGTAAAACATTAATTCAGGGGGGCTGGGGGTTTAGCTCAGCGGCATAAGCGTCTGCCTTACAAGCAGGCAGTCGTGAGTTCGATCCTTGGTACCGATAAAAAGGAAAAAGACAAAAACAAAAAAACATTATTTCAGGACCTGTCTTAGCCTGAAGTGAGTCAGCAGCTCCACAGCATTCACCGAAAGGACACACAGCAGAGGTGCAGCCTGGGGTACGGCATGTGCCTGGTGAGCACAGGGCTTCAGACTCCTGCCTCAGCAGTGAAGAAAAGACCGGCAGAGAAGGGTGGGAGGGACCCTCAACTCTGCTTGGCGGTGCATGCCAGTAATCCCAGCACTGTGGGAGGCCGAGGCAGGAGGATCACTTAACAGGACCCAGTCTCAAAATAAAAAGGGCTTGTGATATAACAGCTCAGTATGAAGGCCCTGGGATCCATTTGCAGAACTAACCAGAGAAGAAAAAGGAAATTAACAGAGAAAGAACCTTTACACCTAAAGAAGATCATCTTGGAGAAATGCGGGCAGGGAGTGAAGGGGCCCCGACAGCACCACCCAGGCTGCGCCCTGGGCCTTTGTGCGCTCCTTACCTGTTCTGACGTGAACTCCAGGCACGCAGGTACCCACTGTGGGGCTCGGGCTGCGCCCGGGAGGAAGAGGAGGCTGCCGCCCTGCGGGAACACACAACACAGTCTCAGAAAGCCACTTGGAGTGTGCCCTGCCAGGGACGGGACAGACACAGGGAGCCACAGCCACGGCAACCTCAACCCAGCGGACCTGTGTCCACAGCCCAGGTGCCCACGGTGGCTGGACTGGGAGCTGTCGCCAGCCCTGAGCAACGGGCTCCTCCCTTGGGTTAGTCACCCAGGACCTTAGTGAATCACTCGGTGACAGCAGATGACCCATCCCTCAAATGCCACGCAAGCCTCAGCTCCCTGCTGGGACACGAAACACACCTCTAGCAGGATCTCTGGCAGGATGGAAGGGCTCTCCACCTGCTGTCTGACCTGGTGGGGGCGGGGTCTGCTGAGGGGCGGGGCAGTTCCGGGCCACAGTCCTCAGCCTCTGCAGCCTCCTGGGCCCAGACCTGGAGGTGGCCCTTGGCCCTTAGCCTTGGGAGAAGAGGCCTGGGGACAAGAGGGAGGTGCAGGAGCAGGGCTGGCAGGAGGCCCCAGCTAAGTCTTTGTGCCCAGAACATGCCCCCAGGGGGCTGAGTGAGCTCGGCATCTGTAAGCCCCGTGCTGTGCCCGTGTCCTGTGTCTTCCTCCAAAGGACGAGGGGCACACACCACCGACCCTGCACATCAGACCAGGAGCGAGCCATTTATAGCAATTAATGCTCTTTGATCCTCCAAAATCAAAGCGCCAAAATACCAAGGAACCCTGGGGTGCTCCGCACCCAAGCCTCACATTCTGTCAGGAGATGAAAGGGCCCCTCCCTTTGCGATGGCTTTGAGCCCTCCAGCTGCTGTGACAGCCACAGTCCCTCCTGTGCTCAGGGCCTGGAAGAGGAGCTCTGCATCCCCCATCAGAGGGCAGCCAGTATGGGGTCCGCAGGCCATTTATACCCAGGTCATTGTTTCAGGGTCGCAGATGGTGCCTGAAGCTCGATCACTGGATTGCTGGGTTCCCCACCTTGACCATGGCCTCCCTGGGCCAGCTCTGTGGCTGGGCTGGGACAGGAGTTTGGGCCCCATGGCTTGGTTACCTGCTCTGCCACCGCCTTGAGCATTCTCAAGTGAGAAGCTACACATTAGACAACTGCTCCTAAATGAAATCAGCAGTCAGGGCGCCTCTCACACCGCCAAGGGTCCCTCTGTACTGGAGAAGTTCCCAAACTGTCCTAGGTACACAAAGCCTATGCCAGCGGGGTACAGGGAGACAGGAGGATGGCTAAGACAGAGCTGGCCTGCACAGCTGACCCAATGCTGCCCATACCACTAGGTGGGGAACCAGCATGAAGATGACACAATGGTGTCACAGTGAAAATGAAAAGACCTGAACACTCCCAGGCTGCTGGCCACACATAACACAGAAGCTCCGAGGCAGGAGGAGAAAACCCAGGGCCTTAACCCAGCACAGTAATAGCAGAGCAGGAGGTAACAAAACTCTGAGAATACAGGGGAGGAACTAGCTGCCAGGGGCTCCAGGAAGAAGTCACAGGAGCTGGGTCTTGAAGAATGAATAGGAATTTGCTGGTTGAGAGAAAGTGTGGCACAGAGCACAGACATTCCGGCAGGCCTGTAGAACACAAAGGGCCCAGCTGCGATGACAGGAGTCATCAGCCCAATCTCCCCTGGGGCCAGGCACCTCAGGCACTGTGGCCAAGGACGTAAGGAAGTGCACAGCACCCTGGGGACTCACCGTTGGACAGCGCTGTGGCTGCCCAAGGACAGGTGCCACAGCTGGCCTGAGATGTCACAAGTGGACTGGTCCCTCGGGCACTCAGAGCCTCAGGGAGCACTCCGAAGGCTTTGCACCTGCACGGCGCATGGTGGTGACCAACCAGATCAGGGCACACCAAGCCTCCCAGGTGGCAGCGGGGGATGGCTGTGGGGACCCCTGGGGTACCTGCTGGGGGGTCGAGTCACGGAGAAACGAGGGGAACAAAGAGGGAGGCCTGGTCCACTCAAGCACTCAGTGAGTGCTGACCACTGTACTAGCAGTGAGAGAAGATGTGAGAGACAGAAGTCAACCAACAGCAAGATGTAAGTTTAGAAGGCCAACTCCTGCCTCTTCCCTGCGGGTCACCCCGTGGCCGTCGGCAGAGGCAGGTGGAGACCTCATTCCATATCCACCAGCCCCCTAACCCCTCCGGGGTGTACTTCATGTCCATGGTGCCTCCCTCTACGCTGAGAACACCACTTTAAAGAAACTGCTAGGCAGACGTGGTGGTGCTCCCCTCTGATACCAGCACTCAGGAGGCTGAGGCAGGAAGATCGCTGTGAGTTTGGGGCTAGCCCGGGCTACAGTGAGTTCAAGATCCGTCTGAACTACATAGTGAGGCCCTGTCTCAAAAAAATAAAATAAAACAAAAGAAAGGAAAGGAAACTGACCGCTCACCTGCCCCCTGGCTCACTATTTTCTGTGTGCTTTCTGTCCCTTCAGATACCCAGCACACCGCCAGGCTTCACGATGAAGCCGCAGGACGCAGGAGGGCATGAGATTCTTGTGGCCACAAGGCTGGCCCAGTCCACAGCAGATTGGAACCCTGGCCTGCACCCCAACAGTATGTAAGTGAAGATGTGAGCCAGGCCCCGCACCTCAGGCGGCGCCTTGGGTCTCCCAGAGTCATGGAAAATCAGGGCAGATTTGCAGGGTGCAGAACCCCATTTGGGGCTGAGAGGGTGAGGACACTGAGGTCACCAGCACAGAAGCCAGCCCGCCCCAAACCCTTCCCACCGGGCCTGGTTAGGGTGACTATGGGATCCCCAGGGCCAGACGGGGTGTCCCACAGGGCCTCCCCAGCTGTAGTCTTCAGGCCGCAGGTCAGGACTCAGGCTCATTTCAAGGCTGGCGCAGCCTGGGCTCCCTGCATGGCAGGAGCCGGATGTGGGTCCCTGCTGGGCCTCTGTCCTGTCGGCCCCTCTGGCTTCTGGTTTGCAAGCATCCTGTGCTCCAACTGAAATGAAACTGAGGCTCCCTCAGCAGAAAGAAGTTAAGACAGACAGAAAGCAACTGGCTGGGGCCCCACTAGCCCCCAACCAGAAATCCGGGGAAAAGCAGGCACCCCAGCAATCAGAGGAGACCCCAGGCTGCGGAGAGGAGCTGTAAAGGTCGTTACAGGGTGGCTGGGAAACAGATCTGAGATGAGAGCGCTGTTTTGGTATTTTATGTCTTGAGTAAAATATCTTCTTCTTCTTCTTCTTTTTTTTTTTTTAAACATAGTACTGGAGGTGGAACCCAGAGCCTTTGCACTGAGTTACATCCCCAGCCCTATTTTTCCTTTTAATTTTGAGGCATGGTCTAAGTCACTGAATTGCCTAGGCCTGGGATCCTCCTGCCTCAGCCTCCCAGGGCGCAGGGATTACAGGAATGTGCCACCATGCCCAGCCAATATTCCAGTTCTTAGAGTTAAAGGCTGATCCAGGTGTGGTGGTACATGTTCGAGGCCAACCTGGGCCACATAGAGAGCTCAAGGCCAGCCAAGGTTACACAGTGAGACCCTGCTCAAAAACTAACAAACAAACAAACAAAAAGAGATAAAGTATTTACAGGTGAATCATCTCTATGCTTAGAATTTACTCTCAAACAAAGTCTGCGTGTGCAAAAAGACACCATGCAAGCACACATGGTGAAGGTTCACCTTCGTGAATCTGTTAATGGATACTCAGGCATCCACTGTACTAGTATGATCTTCCTAAAGGTGTAAAACAAAACTGTAAGTGGAGAAGGATGCACTTGGGAGGCCGAGGCAGAAGGGTCAGGAGTTCAAACCCAGTCTGGGCTACAGAGAGATCTTGTCTCAGACAAAGCTAGAAAACAACATGGCCTTGTGGAAGTAGAGACTACACCAGGCCAGCCCAGGCCAGGCCAGGCAGGCCAGCAGCCTCTGCAGCCTCTGGGTTTCGGCCAGGCCTCCTCCAGGGAAAGTAGCCCTTCTCTCCTGCACAGGTGTGATCTGAATTCCCCATGCTTGCCCCAAGTCCCCAGCCTACCTGCGGGCCACCCGCCTGCCCCTACCAGGCTGATGCTGGCCAAGGTGCACAGCACTGAGATGGCCTCAGCTGGCGGTTCTGGTACCAACTGAACCAACGCCAGTGGACCTGACTCAACACAGATCCCTGGGGCCATAGTGTGACCTGCACTTGGCCCCATGGCCAGTTGGGAAACAGGCCAGGGAACCGGCAGAGCCAGCCCAGACCATCTTTGGGCACAGCATGCAAAGGCAAGGGTGCCTGGACAGGCCAGGACCCGCCTGAAGACTTGCAGGCCGCTAGGGAGTGAGAAGAGGACTCATTCACACTGCTGCTGGGCAGGTGGCCAGAGCCCAGCCCGCCACTGCATGCCCTGTGCGGCCAGCCTCTTGCCGGGAACCTTCACTCCTAGAGCAGCTCATGATGGCCCAAGCATGGCAGTTCTGGGTATGTGTGCATGCATGCATGTATTTGGTGGGGATGGAAGCCAGAGCCTTACACACATGAGGCAAAGCCTCTTCCACTCTTGGCCCCCGGAGACAGTTCTGACCAGTGGAACTGGCTGGAGGCTCCAGCTGGCCCTCTGCAACCAGGTTTCCCCATCCTTGGAGTTGATCAGCTGCAGAGTTAAAATATGTGTGGGCTCCCATGCAACACTCTGGGAGGCTAAAGCAGGAGGATCCCAAGTTCAAGCCCTGCTTGGGCAACTGTGTGAAACCCTGTCTCAGAAATCAAAAAATTTTAAAAGGGCTGGGTACATGCCAGCACTCCAGAGACTGTGGTAGGATTGCTGGGAGTTTGAGGCCCACCTGGGCTACAAAATGAGTTCAAGGCCAGCCCGATCTGCACAATCAAACTCTATCTCAAAAAGACGAAGAAAAAAAAAAAAAGGTGGGGACTGGGAATGTAACTCAGTACTTAAACTCTGGGTTTAATCCTCCCCACACACACACCACACAAAAACTTAGGCTTTATTTGTTGTTACTATTTCCTAAATAACAGAAACATAACAATTTACATAGCATTTATACTGCCTATACATTGTGGGATTATACATAACCTAAAGATGATTAAAGTATATTAACAACATATATAGGTTTTATGTAAACGTTATGCAGCCAGGCATGGTGGTGCATGCCTATAACCCCTATACTTGGGGCACTGAGGGAGGAGGGTCACTGAGTTAGAGGCCAGCCTGAACTGTCAGTGAAACCCTTTCTCAAAAAGACAATGTTGGGGCTGGGGATTTAGCTCAGTGGCATAAGCGCCTGCCTTGAAAGCAGGCAGTCGTGGGTTCGATCCCCGGTACCGATAAAAAAGGAAAAAGACCAAAAAAAAAAGACAATGTTATAGATTAAAAACTAGTAGTCAATGCCAGCGGAATTAAATCATTGCTCATTGGCACTAAGCATAGTTGTTCCACCTGAGGAAAGTTGCCAGCATAAATAGAGACGTGGAGAAGGAGAAGCTATGTGTTGATGCATTATTGCGTTGAGGCATTGTGGGTTCTCCTACAAGCTGCTGCTTGAGCCGTTGTTTCTCCTGGAGAAGCTCTGGTCCTCACATTGAGCATCGTTTCCTGGCTGCGGAGGAGAAGACATGTGCCACCTGGTCTCCAGGATGAACTCGTCATGGCAGGTACTCTACTATGATTATCCTCAGAGGAGCTCGGGGCTTC